CCCAGTTATAAAGGAATGCCTTCCTTGGATATTTGGCTTACCAAGAAAAGGAAATATTCCTGAGCAGCCAACTAAAAAGCCAAAACAAAAAGTTTTCTGATTCCAGACTTACAGGTTTTGCTTCTCTAAAGCTAATCTGGAATCTGAACTAAGGTGTTCCAGGTGCTCTGGACTAGTGCTGGGTAGCATGAAGGTACACTCCGCACAAAGTACTTAAGCAGCATGCTCAGAAGCAAGGCTGAGTGGTCCTGCAATGCTGCATGGACAATAGCTACCAGGAACACCTCAGAACCATGACATATTTCATTTTGAATTCATTTCCGGCCACCGCATATTCAAAAATGTTTTACCCTTGCCAGAATTTCCAGGACCCTTGGGTTCAATTATATAACCATAAGGAGGGTCGTGGCCCATATTTCCATACACTGGAACCTAGACGTACTCTTTACTGTTCATTAATTTTGGGTTTGTAAAACTCTCCTCACTGTGTGTAAAGGAGCCACACTACATGTTCCCTTGGAGTGTTAAAGACATTGGGAACTTTCATGTGCACAATCATCCGCTAATTTTATTCTTTTCCAAAAGAAAGGGAGGGGCATATCTTATTTTTTAAATTCATATATTAATTTTGTTTTCTTCCTCCAAGTGTTCATTTACGTTTCCATGATAATGACTACACATTTGCTAAAAGTCATGCATAGTTTTGTTATTACTCAATTGTAATATTATCAGACTGTTTTTTTCACCATTGCAAACAAAATACTTTCCATACTAAATGAGAAAACTGGCAAAACTCCTATTAATTTATTTTCCACCATTCATTTATTTGCAATGGCAATGCTCACAAACCTCAGTCTGTTCAATATTACTAACAACCATGGCTGTAGCAGATGTATATCAGGCAAGTCTCTCATGTCTAAATATTAATACTTTCCTTTGTAGGTTTCCAGATCCCGCAATTTTCCAGATGCAAAGTTTAGCTACATAGGGTTAGAGGGAAACATTACACTCCAAGGTCCCCTCTTACTGCATCCTTTTTTCTTTTTGGAATAAACTTCTGGTCCTTGTAGTTGAAGAATGGGCCACACTGCAGACTCTAGCTTCAGGGCCTCAGCAAACTTGGCCTCTCTTACTCTGACTTTGAAAGATACAGTTTCTGAAACCAGGCCCTCATCCCACCTTAAATTTTTTATAAAATTAAGTTAACAAAATTGCCTCTAGGAGATTGATTTTGACATTATTAGATTTGTTAGTGGAGTTGGTCATTTACATTAGGAATTATCATTTTAAATCTGTGCCTTCCTCAAAATTATGCTATGTTCTTTTGGAGCAATATTTAAAATACCCGACAAAACATTAACCTAAGTAATATTTCAATATAAGCTATTAAAAAGCCAGATGCACTTTACATATAGACTTGAAAAATTTCTCCTCCATGTTGCCGTACATGGAGTTTCATCTAAAGGCACAGAGGTTGCTCTTGCTGTGTTTCAAGGCGTCCCTCCCCACACTGAGTGGTTCACCCACCTCTCTTCTCCTGTTTTCTTCCTGGGAAAGCAATTGCAATAAAACGCCTTTAAAAAGAAGCAGCAAAGGTTTAACATTTATAAACACTACACGCTTTCACTTAGATACTAAAAATTGCAACATACTCGTTCCTCGGTTTTTCTGAAAATACTGACTTTCTGATTCTAGTGAAATATAATTTTAGTAACTCATCAAGACAGAATACATAAAATTGGCATATTTTTCATAGGCACACAAACTGAGAAAGCATCTTTCCCAACTGCGGTACAGAAAATGGAATGCATCTGCTATGACAATATGGCCCACAATGTGAACAAGAATCAGCAGGGAAAACTGGTTTTTCTTTCCTTCTTATTGACAAAGAAGAACATTTGGAATAATATATGAGGAGGCACTGTTAATGCCTGTTAGTGTTTTTCAAAAGTAGCTTGGTTAAAGGGAAGATAATGAGAAGGCTACATGAAAGGCAGCAGTTTGTTAAGTTTAATCGGTGTAATGTGACTCCAGATCTCCCATCATTCCCCTCAGCAGTCAAACTGATTTTTTTACTTTTGTTTAATATCTCTACCTAGTGTCAGAATGTAGGCACATATGTTGTTGAGACCTCATGCTGGTCTGGGGGTGGAGAAATGGGGAGTGTGTTGAAGAACATGGCTGATGCCAGGAGCAAGCAGAAAATAAAACAAATTTTCAAGAATTTTCCTAATTTTACAATGAATTGCGGGTTTTGTTTGTTTGTTGCCTTTAAGCGTCTGTACAATGGTAATCAGAATGCAATAATAAATGCTTTTACTACCTCATCTCTGTTTGTGCCCTTCATGTGCTATGAGTTCCTCCTAATGCCCAGGTGACTTAAGGATGAGAGGCTGAGTGGCAAGTCCCTGAGATGTACTTGGAAAGGCATGATGCTACAAACCAAAGCCTGCCCCTGGGCGCCGTAATGAATTCAGATCCGGGTTTCTGTTCCCTTTCTTCTCTTACTATTTGGAGGTGAGTTCAGCTCCTTTTAGTTGAACAAAAAGGTACTTTAAAGATTACTCACTACTGTCTTCTTCTTCAGTCAGAGGACGCTCTCCACTCACTGCTGGGAGAACAAGACCCCAAGCAGCAGGGGCTAGGGCATTCCTGCACCTGGCCATCCCCTTAGGGCTTACTATTGGTTCTGCTTATATTCATCTACTAATTCTTTAATTTTACTCCAAATTTTACATTCCTCTCATGTGTACGTTGAAATATTGGTTCCTTATGATGAAAAGCTTCTTTAGAAATATAAAGTGGTTAACATGTAGTTTTTAAATATAGTAAAATGTGCAATAATGCATCAGAAATTAATATAGATGATCTGTTGTAAAACTGTGGTGGGGATGGGATGATTTTACAACACATGCAAACTTGTAGACCTCTAGTATTAAACAGATCAAAGTCATCCCAAAAGTTAATGTTTAGAAGTTCACAAAACTGGTGAGAATCATGGAATCATGGGAAAGATTCTGAAAGCTGACCTGCGTACATACACCCACCCCTCCTGTGTTGCTTACATAACCACACATCTATCCCAGAAAGGTCACTTAATTCTTTGGACATTAGCTTCTAATCCATAAATAAACAAGAACTTCTACAGGACTGCAGTGAGCACTGAATAGTGTAATGCTGTAGAGTGCCCAGCATATGATGAAATCACACACTGTAGTATTATTTCAGTACAGTCTCCAAAACAGCTTAGATCTTTCTGACATAAAAGACATACTAGCGTTCTTAAAAGAAAAGTTGATAGTTTCAAAACTCTTTTGGTTTTTAAACGGGGGAGGGGGCACAAAGATAAATTTTGCTCATTGTTTTTGCTTTGAAAATATTTGCAGTTCAATAGACTGCAAAATAACTTTATAAATTAACTTTTCCCATAACATGATAGGTAACATAATTCTATTATTATGTGTTGCTCTAAAAGTTAGGAAAGATAAAGTATCGCAACAATCTCTTAAGGTTAAAATAAATATGCATTGGGACTATATAGAAACTCAAAAGCATTTCCTTTACCTCATAGTATTTGAGATATCTCACACTATTCTTAGTTGTCAACTCGACTGCATCTGGAATCAACCAAAACCGGAATGAATGGGCACAACTTTGAGGGGGTCTTTTCGTAATTAAATCTCTTGAAGAGGGAAGAACTAGTTCTAATCCAGATCTGTCAAGTGAGAAGACACACTTTGAATCAAGATCTTTGAACGTGGGAAGATCCACCTTTAATCTGGCCACACCTGCTGGCAGCCTATATAAAGGACATGGACAACTTTCAATTTGCCTTTGAAATAAAACAGAAAGAGTTCTGTTTTGGTCTGTTTCAAGACAATAAAAGATAAAGTTATGTGTTCTTTCTCTGCCAACGGTGTCTATATAACATCAAGTGTTTGCTAGACAGAAAAAAAAAAAAAAAAGGTAGATTAGACTGATTTCTGGCCTTTTTTTTTTTTAGAAACTGCACCAAGAAAATAGTAAATAAGCTATATAGCTTGTTTGAGCTCTTCTTGTCTCACATAATCGAAGAGTAAATTTCAGCAAATGGTTGAATTTTTTCCTACCTAGCTATTGATTTATTTAAAGTTTTAATGTAGTATCAGTCACTTAGCATGATCAGAATGGGAGTTAATAATCTAAGACATACTAAGAAAAAACAATTATTTTAGGCCCATCGTAAAGTTGGATATTTGAAGCATTTTCTACCATGAACATGATTTAATAGACATTTATAAAAAAAGAAAACTTTGAAAAATGGTAGGAGTAAACGAAGTCACCTCATGACCTAAAATTTCTATTAAAACACAGGAAAACCTCTGGTCTGAGTAATCGACAGGAAGTGTAAAGCATGTTTTAGAAGCACGTGTTTCTGATGACCTAAACTTCAGACCATAGGAACTACTTGACTAACTGGGATCCTGCAGTTAGTGGGACAGGATCCACCTGCAGCGGAAAGTTTAGAGAAGTCACCCAACTTCTCCGAGGAATCCTAACCAAATCCATAAACGCACCTTTCTTCACTCCCAAGTGCACCTTAGCCTTTTGCTTCAGACAATGCCTCATCCACAAGGCCGCCCGCGGTTGCGATTTCCTTTCCTAAATCTTGGGCTCTATTGGCTTTTTCTTTTGCCAAGAAAATGCTTAGTCGGGCATGAGGCATGTTGCAGGCTACCTCCAAAAAGACACCCATGCTACCTGTGACTTTTCTTTAGCTGTTCACTAAGCTACTGCTACTGGCACTGCTTTTGGAGACATGTCATTCTTATCAAAGTCAAGTCAGGGTAGACTTTGATAAGAATGACACCTGTCACTACTAAACTGGAGGGAAATGTTTCCTTTGCTCGGTTTCAACTAGCCAGTGGTCCACAGAATCGCTCGCAGGCACCGGAACCCTTCACAAGGAAAGGCAGACAGAAGCTGGAGGGGTGGCCCGCACGTTGCCACCTGGCACTCACCTGGCTGCAGCTGAGCTCTTCACCCTTAGGCAAAGCCTGGGGCTCGGCGGGACCTCGGGCGGGTTCTACCGGAGGTGGCGCGGGTTCCAACAACTGCTCCAGGCAGGCGGTGCCAGGAAGAGAGGAGCTCTTTTGGTGGCACAGGTGCACCCCAGAGCCCCTACGCCGTGCGCCTTCATCTCGGTCGCGGTCTCTCCTCGGGGGCGGTTGGGGAGATGAGGACAGCGAGGATGAGGCGGAAGAAGGAGCTGAGTCCGGAGAGCGTCCGCCAGGAGGCGTCACTCCCGCTGTCCCCGCGGCTGTCGCGGGCCCCTTAGCCACCGGCAGCAGATGTTCGCGTATGCGGCGGCGCAACGCGGACCCCTGCTCGGCTCTGCCAGCTCCTCCCGGCTCCAGGGGCTCCGGCGAGGAGCAGCACAGGTTGGGCTGCGAAGACGAGAACACTCGATCTAGCACTTGCTTCCGCTTCTTGAAGCCGCTCCACCTGCTGCCGGTACTCCCCACAACGGCCAGTGCGTCCTGCGTGGCCCTCGGGGGCGGCGGGGATGGGGTCGCAGTGGCCGCAGTGCGGCGCTCGGGGCCCCCGGTGCGCCCGCCCCCACCGCCCTTGCCCTTGCCCACACCCAGCTGCAGGTTCTTCCAGAGCCGGGCCTGGAAGGAGGGGGACGAGGCGGGCTCGGGCTCTCCAGCCGCTGCTGCCCGGGGCTCCATCCTCCACCCCAGGCACCTCCTGTCGCCTCCTCCTGCCTCTCCTCCGCCCTCTCGGGCTGCGCCTCCCCCGAGAACGTGGAGGCGGCGGTGGCGGCGACGGCGGCGGCCGGCGCAGCAGCACAAGCCAGGAGTGCCCAGCGGCTTCAGGCCAGCTCGGAGCAAAGCGGCTGCGGCCGAGGCCCTCCTGCCGCGGGGTGTCGCCGCCTCCGCCCACTGCACCTGCCCGGCTGGGCTGGCACGGTCACCAAGCGCCCGCGGCGCCTGCAAAGTTTCGAGCGCGGAACTCCGCCGCTCCAGTCCACCGAGTGACTCCAGGCCGCGCCCGGACTCCCCCTCCGCGCCGGCTAGGGGCTCGGGAAGCTGCGAGTACCCGGCGACGCTGCCAGCTGCACAGGGGACCACACCCGCGCCCTCAGGCCAGCACCTGTCAGTGGCAGGGCCGGCCGCCTCCAAACTGGGCGCGCACGCGGCTCACATCACAGGGAACGTCCGAGGAAGACGTTGCGGACCTGCAGCCTAGGCTAAGCCTCCCAGGACCATCGTCCCCCTCCTAGGGGGAGGGCAGGCAGGAGCAGGGTGGGGCTGCGTAGGTCTTGGAGCGGGCTTGACTTTAAGTATGGGTCTGCAGTCTCACACACAGCTTGCTTTAGGATGAACCTTCCTTAGGCTGATCAGACGAAGTGCATCCCAGTGAAGTCTATGTGCCCCTGGTGGGTCCCGCAGGGAGCTGCGCGTGCGGGAAACCTCTCCAAAGGCTGCCTCCACCCGGTTGGGCATCCTGGGCTCAAGAGGAGAGTATGATGTCTTCTGTCTTGACTTCATCATCATCCACCCCTTCATGCTCTTAGTTCGCGTGTGTGCTGACAGTCCTTATAATGGGCTTTAACAGTTCCCAGAACCTGACAATAAGGCTAACCCTTAAAGTAAGTTGCAGGGAATTCCCATTGAACAGAGAGATGAGATGGGAGGGTGTTCACTGCCTGTGACCCTATTCAGAGTTCAGACTTGTTCTTTTCAAACAGATTTTCTCTTTTGTTACTCCTTGCAGTTTGTTGGAAGACTGATTTAAAAAAAAAAAAAAAAAAACTTTTTAATTTTCCTTCTCTGGCAGTCTATGCACCCAGGATCTCCTGACTTCACAAGAAGTCCACTGAAAGATGGTAATGTCTCATCCTTCCCTCCTCCATCCTACCTTCCTTAGAAGCTTCAGACAGTGTTGTTTGCTTACTTAAAGTGGACATTCTCCTTTCTGGGCAGCAATTTACCCTGCAGGTGTGATCAGCCTGTCTTATGTTGTGTTTTTCTTACCCTTCTAACAAACATTTATTGAGCATCTACTATGAGCCAGGCAATGATCAGCACTGTAGAAACAGTTGTGAACACATAGAGAGCACTTGAGTTGGAGTCAGGGAGTAAGATAAAAATCTAATTTTTAAGAATGAAGAGTCTCAGAGAGGTAATAAGAGTACTGTAACTTGATTGCTCTAATACTGAGCAGCCTATTAAATTTGAGTTTCAGACAAATCGCAACAAGTCTTGGTACACTTATATCCCAAATATTACAGTGAACAAAGACCAAAGGAGTATAGTTGTTTAGCCTAAGTGTCTTGTATTTACTGAATCTAACAAGCCCATATCTAGGAGTTGTGTGTTAGAATTGTGTGTGTAAAAATAGTCTCTCTGAGAAAAATAAATTTGAAACGAAGGGACAGAGCCAGCCACTGAAAATCTAGATGCAGTGTTCCAGGGAGCCCCAAGGCAGGAAAGACCTTATCAAGATGTATTCACACAGAGATGGAGACTGTTCCAAAGAGGGTGAAGGAAACCAGCCAGGACTTGTCCATTGGGAGTGCAGGGTCTTCATAGGGACATCCCATAGAGGAGTTTGAAACTGCTGTAATTAAGTCAGGAACCATTTGGGTGTATCCATCTCATGGTCTACAGAATACATAAAGTCTGCAATAACTATAAGTATGGCCCAACGTAAAAGAATTTAAAAACTTGATTACATGTTGTTGTTTTCTTTTTTTCATGGACTTTGCAGGTGACAATGTGTCTCAATGTCAAAAGGTTGGGTGTGTCTGGTAGATTATTTTTAAATATGGGAATAATGTGTATAGTTTAATTTTTCTATTTTCTGCCTAATTTTGTCTTTACCTTTAGTGGAGAAGATTTGGCAGTTAGTGGCTCCTAAGGGGAAAAGTCACTCTCCTTTAGGGATGTGGCTAATGGTAGATTGCCTATACCCTGGTGGGTAGCCCTACACCCATGTGCATGTGGGCAGCACCAATTGTGCTTAGGGAGTTATTAAAAATGGGTTTTTTGTTTGTTTGTTTGTTTTTAAGAATATAAAATTAGTAGAAAGAAGTGTTAGAAGGTACTAGGTGGAGCTGGAGGGAGGTGGTGGTAGATGAGTATGATTAAAATACATTATATAAATATATAAGATCTCAAAGGATAAATTCATTTTTATTATTAATATTTTCCTTATTTTACATGTTGATTCCAGTTCATTCTCTCTCCCACCTTCCCATGCCCCCCACTGACCCACCCCATCCCATCCCCCACCCACTCCCCGGGGAGTGAGGACTTCCAGGAGGGATCATCAAAATCTGTCAAGTCATTTGGGGTAGGGCCTAGGCCCTCCCCTTACTCTGGACTAAGAGTAAGGGGAATGGGCTACCAAAGTCCATTTGGCACCAGGGATACATACTGGTTCCACTACCAGAGATCCCATAGACTGCCCAGGACTCCTAATAGAGACCCATGTTCAGGGAGTCTGAGTCAGTCCTATGCTGGTTTAACAGCTGTAAGTCTGGGGTTCATGAGCTCCCCCTTGTCAGGTCAGCTGTTTCTGTGGGTTTCTACAGCCTGGTCTTGACCCCTTTGCTTATCACTACTCCCTCTCTGCAACTGGATTCCAGGAGTTCGGCTCAGTGTTCAGTTTTGGGTGTCTGCATCTGCTTCCATCAGCCACTAGATGAAGGCTCTAGGATAGTATATAAGTTAGTCATCAATCTCATTATCAGGAAAGGCATTTAAGGTAGCCTCTCCATTATTGCTTAGATTGTTAGTTGGGGTCATCCTTGTATAGATCTCTGAACATTTCCCTAGTGCCAGATTTTTCTTTAAACCTATAATGGCCCCCTCTATTGTGGTATCTCATTTCTTATTCTCCTCTATTCTTTCCCTGTCTCAGTCTTCCTGTTCCCTCATTCCCACCTCTCCCCTCCTTTTCTCCCCTTCTCTTTCTCTTAACTCCCTCATCCCTCCCCCCTGCTCCCAATTTTCTCAGGAGATCTTGTCCCTTTCCCCTTCTGTGGAGAACCATGTATGTTTCTCTTAGGGTCCTCCTTGTTTCCTAGCTTCTCTGGCAGTGTGGATTGTAGGTTGGTGATTCTCAAAGGATAAATTTTAAATATTATTTTAAAAATCCTCCAAAGTCGGATTCTGAAATATATGCTCCCAAATCACATTTATCTACCAATATAAATTCTGTTTGAAAGAGCATGTGCAAACTTTCTAAAGTACCTGAAGTGGATAATAAAATGCAGCTGTTTTACAGACTGAAAGTTATACAAAGATGACCAGATATGGTTTCTGCTGTCAAATATCTCATATTTATAAGATGGTAGTAACAAAAAAATTATAACATCAATAGAAAATTAGAGGTTCAGTACATAGCATACTTGTTGAACAAGCTTGAGTATCTGTGTTCAGATGCCCGGCACTCACATGAAAAGCCTGGTGTGGCAACATGTACCTGTAACCCCAGAGCGGGAGGCCAAGACAGGACCAGGGTGCTCACTGGCCAGCCATTCTTGGTAATCAGTGAGCTTCTGTCTCCAGACAATGGAAAGCAATAGAAAAGGAAACCTAATGTCAATCTCTGGCTTCCACATGGGCATGCTCAACTACATCCTCACGCACACACATGCACGCACGCACACACACACACACACACACACACACACACACTCCCATATGCACAGGCATGCACTCACACACACAAACACCACAGGTGTACAAATACACATAACAATATACCACAAACAAATAGAAGATAAATGATACAAGGTGGCCGTGAAGGAATACAGGGGAGTGAGGAGTAGAGACTTGATCGTGAATACTCAATGAGTATGCTTGATATATTACTTGGGATATCATCTAAGGTAAGATCTATTATAGGTCAGAGGGTACACAAAGGAAATAGACTCTCCTTGGAGGAGACATAACAACAAAATACAGGCTACAACGCAAGTCGTCAATGACTATTCCCTACTATTTTTATTATTATATTTTAAATGCTGATAGCACATTTGTTCTGGAGTGATGATGCAGTTTCTGTCCCTCCATGTTCCAATGCTGTTTAGTCCCAAATAAACACACTGAGGCTTATATTAATTATTAACTGTTTGTCCAATGGCTCAGGCTTCCTATTGGCTAGCTCTGTCTTAATTATTAACCCATTTCGATCAAACTATGTGTTGTCATGAGGCTGTGTCTTACCTGTAATACTCCAGCAAGTTACTGCTTTGGTGGCTTTGACTGAAGTGTGTGTGGGGGGGGGAACTGGTGGCCTAGATCAGTGGTTTTCAACCTGTGGGTTGCAAACCCTTTGGGGGTGGGTCAAATGACCCTTTCACAGGAGTCATCCTAGACCATTGGAACACACAGATATTTACATTACAATTCATACCAGTAGCAAAATTGGTTAAGAGGTAGTGATGAAAATTATTTCATGGTAGGGGAGTCATTAGGAGGGTTAAGAACAACCGTTCTAGATGTATATTTAAAAGAAGCTGCTGGTGGAATTTTCCAGTTTAGACATGGGGTTTTCAAGCAGAATGCAGAGCTGTTTGCCTCATTTACTATCAATAATTCCAAAGCAACACCATTTTATAGATGAAGAATCTATAGTCTAGGGTGTACCATAGGTCTGGTCAGGTCACTCTAAATAATCACCAGATGCAACAATAGAAACCCCGGTGGAAGGGAGTCTGAAGCCACATGGCTTTGTGAAATATAAATGCTTGCATTTGTGAAAAGGCAACAACTGAGAAGAGTTTCAAGTGTTAAATTCATGCATGCTCTTGTCCTAGGGCATCTTGAATAGGATCACAGCTTCTACTTAGTAAGTTTAAAGGCATAAATTCACACATAACAATGGTGTTTCTGGGGCTAACTGAATTTAGGGGCTTTTAAAATGTCATGTAAGGAACTGTTTTGTCAGAGGAGCCCTGACTATGGCCACAAATCCTATCACTGGGCATGATGCCTTTTAGGCCTTGATTTCAGCTCTTACTCTCTGTCCCTGACCTGGTACCTCCTGAGACCCCAATTTACGGAGAACTGTGTCACTTTTGACATTTGGATATGAGTCTTTAGTGTCTGAGCTATGTCACCAGCCCATCAACAGCATTCTTGGTGGTCAAAGGCTCTGAAAGAGAG